TTTTGAAAGCATTCTTACTTTACAGCATTTTTTCACACCTGCCCAAAACTTTTGCACAGTATTGTATAAATAAAAGCAGCTGCATACAATTTACTCTGAACTTGCAATTAAATACCTTCTGTTTTTGCTTCCTGCCTTGACAGGTTCCAACTTGTGGCATTCCAGTTTGTTTCACTTGCCAGTCTTCATCAAAATGACAATGTCTGCCTTCAATTAGAATTCAGATAGAATTAAGTGATATGAAGAAAATAAATAAATATAAACAAAATATAAATAAATATAAATGCGATTCTGTTTTAGAAAGGAAGCACCATAAACCATGACCATAAATTCAGGTCTCTCATAAAGGATATAGATAACCAACATCTGCAATTGGTAATCTTTTCAGAGGAAGAGATTAAAAACAAGGCTCTTGCATTGTTTCTCTAGAAGAGCACCGTTATACTCTTCTTCCCTTAATTTTGACCATGAAGCACTTATTACATCTGTCTGTGGAAGAAGATATGCAAAGCACAATCATTCCATGAGAATTCCCAAGGAAGAGCATGCATAACTTGGGATTGATATAGCAGGAAGCTCTCTCCTATGTTTGTGACAGAATGGATTTCTGAAAGCAAGGGCCTCCTTAAGATACCTTCTTCTCCTAATCTTTATGTCCAGCTGTTTTTATATCAAGTTGAGTGATCCTTCAGATAACCAGGCCCTAAGCTGTTTATGGCATTAAAGGTTAAAACATAATATCCTGAATTTGATGCACAAAACTCTTTGAATGTGTTTATATACAGAAGTCTGGCTAAACAAGTTACAGTCACTCGCTTTGTGATATTCACAATTTTAAGATGAAGTGTTGATAAATGAGGTGGAAGAATTTGATATATTTAAATGAAAAGTGATATAAAACAATGCCAATGTAATAATGTAAGTAAAACAATTGTAGATTATTGATGTGATGTGTATTACATATTTGAATCCTTTCATAAATAAAATGCTCCCTGGGTGCCTCAAAGGAGAAAGATTTAGCAAAGATTAAGTACTTTCCATGAAAGAGCTTCCAAAAACTATGAAAATACTCTGGACACTACTACTACAGCAACAAAAAGCCAATTTGATAAGAGAAGCCAGTAAGGGTTGGCACATGTAAAAAAGCTTTTAAAAAGATATTGGGAGAAAAGGAGAACTGAGGCAACCCTGAGTTCAGAAGAAAGTATTCACCCTTTACAGCTTTACACAGAAATGAAATTTGTGCTGATGCACCCTGTTTCATACTGTGAAGCTGGTTAAATCTGAAGTTTTCTATAGAGAGGCAGGAAGATGAACCCAACCCAGATCGAGGCAGAGTAGAAAGGGGGCTGCTGACCCTGGGGGGAAACAGGCAGGATCCCCATAACTAATCAACAGGGAGCTCGTGAAATGGCTATATTGCATGTAAGACCTGGAAGGCACCCTCCCCTGGTTTTATTTACATTTACGTTTTAATGGTTTTTAAAGTTGTTTCTAACTGTTCTGTTTTACTGTACGCCGGCCAGAGTCAGATTCGTGAGACAGGCGGCTATATCAATGAATCAGTCCGCTAAACACACCTTGAGGCCCTGCAATCCTAAGGCAACTCACTCAAGCGCCTATTATTACTATTATCATCATTATTATTATTATAATCATCACTACTATTATTATTAGCATCATTATCATTACGAGCTACATGTATATCCCGGCTTCCCTTGGCCGCCCTGAGAGGCAGGCTTCCCCTAATTACTCTCCGCAACAACAACCCCGTGAGGTAGGGCGG